GGACACTTTCCCCCCCCCCCCCACCCCAGCTCCGGACACTTTCTCCCCCCCCCCCCCCCCTGCCTGACCAGCGCAATTTTTCAGCTTTCAGCGCTATCACACTTTGAAGACAATTGCGCGGGTCATGCAACACTGTACCCAAATGAATTTTTTACCATTTTTTTTGAGACAGATGAAGCTTTATTTTGGTGGTATTTATTCACCGCTGGGATTTTTATTTTTTTTTTGCTATATAAATGAAAATGTCCAAAAATTTTGAAAAAAAGTGTTTTTTTAAATAAAATTTTGCAAATAAATATTTCATCATAAATCTTGGCCAAAATTTATTCCGTTTATCTTTTTAGTAAAAAAAAAAAAAATCCAAATTAGTTTTATAACCAAAAATTATAATTTTTAAACATTTTTTTGTTTACATTTTCATTTTATTTTTTTATATACTGTTACCCTCCTAGCAGTACAGTGTCACCATGGTGACACTGTACTACTTGGGGGGGTGATGAAGATTTTTTTTTTTTTTTATACTGATTGTTTTTACACCCATAAAGGCTGTAAAAGCAATCATTTCTCTCTGGCTGCATTCTTGCACTCATTGAGAAGTACTGATTGAGCTGTGATTGGTCACAGCTTGTCACATGGTACAAGGCTGTTGTGAATAGCCCTGTACCATGTGACCTCTGTGATCATTCACAGATTTCGCACGAAGTAAGCAATGATGTCACAAGTGACATCTTGCTTACTACTTTGCATTGTGATCACTGATTGGCCAATCAGTGATCACATGATCGGGACCCCGTACAGAGGTCCCGTCTGACGATCGGTGTTTCACTGTGTCCGGAGGACACAGCGGGCACCGGATCGCGTGTGCTTTTTTTGCGCTCTCCCAGGAAGCGTGCACAAGCAGGGTGTGCGGGAGGCTGTTTATAAACGGCCACCCGACCCTGCACTGCCAGCCGTCCAGGAAGGGAGACCGTTTTATATGCAACGGCTAGTTTCTTATCAACGGCGAAGAGGTTAAACAAACCAAAAACCACTGAAAAGTTTGATTAAAAAAAGTTTTTTTTCTTAGTTTTGTTATACAATTTTGTAAATAAGTGATTTTTTCCTTCATTTCTGGGCACTGATAGGCTGCACTGATGGGCACACTGATGAGGAGGCACTGGTAGGTGGCACTGATGGGCATTGACAGGCATCACTGATGGGCACTGAAAGACAGCACTCATATATGGCACTGATAGGTGACACTTACTGGCACTAATGGGTGACACTGAAAAGGCAGTTCAGATGGGCACTGATATGTGGCATTGATTTGCACTGATGGGCACTGGCAGGTGCACTGCTAGGGCTGCACAGATCATCAGGGCACACTGATCATCAGTGCTCTGATGATCAGTGCACATATCCCCTCTGAGGGATGCCGATTACCGGCTCTGCCCTCCTCTCTGTCAGCGTGACAGCTCGAGAGGAGAGGAATGCCGGATAACCAGCATTTCCTATTTACATGCGATCAGCTGTGATTGGACACAGCTGATCACGTGACCAAGCCGACATCTTCGGCTCTTTCCGTTGATTGGTGATCCGCTGTGTGTGAGGGACACAGCGCACCACTGATCGCCGAGTGTTGCGCGCTCCCTGAGCCACGCACGCTGTGTTTAAGAATGGGACGACGTCATATGACGTCCTCCCAGAACGAGAGAAGCACCTTGCGGCCCATCATCGTACTATATGGCGGTGTGGGAGGCGGTTAAGGCCTTTACTTGTTATCCATGCAGTGAGTACTTCCATTCATGCATTGCAAAACGTTGCCCCTAGCATTAATATTATGGTCTTGTTGAAAGCTGCCGACGGTTTCCTGTACCACGGCTTGAAGAAAGTGTCCTTCTAAAAACTGGCAGTAGGTTTTTGGAGTTGATTTTTAGTCCATCTTCAACCCGGAAAGGTCCACCTAGCTTTAGCCAGCAGGATCTGTCACCAGCTATGTACCTACGGTTCCTCGGACACGGCCGATGACAGATCTGTGTACCGGCCCCGTTGCCAGTACCATGTACCTGCTGTGACCAATCACAGCAGGTCACATGAACGTTGTATACAATGGATGGCGTCCTTTCATGCCATCCATTGTATACTAGTGTGTCTAGCTGTGAAGGGGTCCACAGCGATCAAATGCACAGGCCATCTGTGTCATGTGATTAGCCGTGGCCAATCACAGCTAATCACAACAAAAAAAGCTGAATGAATCGATTTCATTCAGTTAAATGCTTGCTTACAGCAAAGAAATTTATTTGCTATAAGCAATCAAATTGTGTAAAAAAAAAAAAAAAAAAAAAAAAATCTGATCACCCTTAAAAAGATCCCCAAATGAGTACAATGTTACTATGGTAACATTATACTACTTTGGTCATAGTGTAATATGAAAAAAAAAAAGGAAAAAAATGTAATAAAACATAAATAGAAAATTGAAAAACAAATTATCTTTTTTTTTTTTCGTACTGTCACCAGTCAGTTTCCCTGATCACTGCCACACCAGTTATATGATGATGCTGTACTGCACTGGTGACAGTATGTACAACAAATTAAGATGATTTTTTTTTTTTTTTATTTCTTTTCCGGAAAATTATGACAAATTATAACTTCAAAAAACTCGCCATGTGCCTCTTATGAAATACGTCTGACTGTCTACTTTGCAAAAAGGAGTAATTTGGGGGATCTGCACCGTCCTGACATTTGGGGGGATATCTGCACCGTCCTGACATTTTTGGACCTCAAGAAATTAGATTGGCTGTCAGTACTTCAGGATTGATCAATATTCAGATCTATCCCATAGTTTGTGAACTTTATAACTTTCCTACAGACTAAATAATACATCCTAATTTGGGTTATTTTCACCAAAGACATGTAGCAGAATACATCTCGGCCTAAATTTATGAATAACATTTATTTGCAAACCTTTATAACAGAAACTAAAGAAAAACGTGTTTGTTTTTTTCAACATTTTTGGTCTTTTTTTGTTAATTTAGCAAGAAATAAAAACCCCAGCGGTGATTAAATACCACCAAAAGAAAGCTCTAGTTGTGTCAAGAAAATAACATTTTAGTTTGGGTACAATGTTGTATGACCGCGCAATTGTCATTCAAAGTGTGACAGCGCTGAAAATTGGCCTGGGCAGGAAGGGGGTATAAGTGGCCGGTATGGAAGTGGTTAATAATACCAGCCCATACCTGTACCCCACTTCCACCTGAGTCGAAGTGAAGCTCTGTGCCCATTACTGATCCAGCCACGGGCCGCTTCATCTGGTCCATCAAGAGTCACTCTCGTCTCATCTACCCATAAAACCTTTGAAAAATCTGTCTTCAGATATTGGTTGGCCCAGTCGTGTGGCGTTCCAGCTTCTGTGCCTCGTTCCGTGGTGGTCGGGGTTCAGCCTTCCTCACCTTGGCCGTGTCTCTGGACACCTCGTACTTCTGGACACTCCAGGTAGGTTGCAGTTCTGGAAGATGACAGCACTGGAGGACAATGGCTTCCTGGGAGCTTCACGTTTGATTCTTCTCAAATCTTTGGCAGTTAATCTGCACATTTTTTTTTTTTTCTCAACACGTTTCTTGCGACCCTGTTGACTATTTTGCAACAAAACGTTTGATGGTTCAGTGATCACGCCCACAAAATCTTAGCAATTTCTGCATCCTTCTGAAAGACCTTTTACAAGTTTTGACTTTTTCAGAGCCCGTTAAATCTTTTCTGGACCATTTTGCCTGAGGAAAAGAAGCCTAATAATTATTCACACCTTGATATAGGGTGTTGATCTCCTTAGGCCACACCCTCCCTCACTTCACAAAATGCACATCACCTGATATACTTACATCCAATAAGCATTCAAGTTTTATACAGCTTGGAATTGGACAATAGGCATAAAAATGAGGGTTTGGTAATAAAAACCTCTCACTTGCCTAATAATTGTGCACACAGTGTAGGAGCAGCTGTTAATGTCTTATTATTATTCAGGATTTATGGCGCCAACAGTTTGCTCAGCGCTGTACAATATAACGGGAGACAATACAGCAACAATACAGTTCAATACAAGAGGGTTAGGAGGGCCCTGATCCTGGGAGCTTACAATCTAAGAGGGAGGGGCTAGTGCAGCAATGGGCAAACTACGGCCCGCGGGCCGTATACGGCCCGGCGGACCTTTTAATCCGGCCCGCGGAGCTAGGCTCCCACTAGGCTCCTCTCACAGTCCGCCCTGAAGACCGGTGTAGCATGAAAATCTGTCTCCTATGAGGATCTGTCCCCCTCGACGTATCTGCGCATGTGCCGGAGATCGCCTATCGGCTGCTAATGCCTGAAACTGGCACATGCGCAGATACGTCGAGGGGGACAGATCCTCATAGGAGACAGATTTTCATGCTACACCAGAACGGCGCGGGAACACGGCGAGAGGAACGCGCGGAGCAAAGGTAAGTGAATTGACACAGGGGGGACTTGGGGACTTAATATGGGGGATGAATTACTATAGGGGGGATGAATTACTATATGGGGGATGAATTACTATAGGGGGGATGAATTACTATGGGGGATGAATTACTATGGGGGATGTAATTACTATATGGGGGATGATGAATTACTATATGGGGGGGGGATGAATGAATTACTATATGGGGATGAATTACTATAGGGGGGATGAATTACTATATGGGGGATGAATTACTATGGGGGATGATTACTATATGGGGGATTAATTACTATGCTTGCTATGGGGGAATATTACTATACTTACTATGGATGACACATACACGTCATTCATCTACTCTTGGTCCGGCCCCCGGGTCCAATATATGAACCCATTGCGGCCCTCAAGTCAAAAAGTTTGCCCACCCCTGGGCTAGTGGTACAAAAGGTAATAATTGTGGGGGGATGGACTGGTAGGAGGAAGAGAAGATTCCATTATTAGCTGAAGGCAGGACAGGCTTCCCTGAAGAGATCACCTAAAAGTGGGCAGAGTAGGCGACATATAGTATATTACAGGGCTTGAAATTTCTGCTCGCCAATGGCGAGTGGAAATTATAGTGGGGGCGAGTGTGTCCCCCAGGGCCGTCTTGGTGAGCAGGCTCGGAGCTCAGGCCGGATCTGTCATTGGCACTGGGTGCCGTCAGACTGCTCAACAGCTGAGCGCAGTGAAAGCAAAGCAAGGAGTGTGTGCTGTGCTCTCTGCCTCCCCCTAGAGTGCAGTACCCGGCTCTGTGAGTGAACAACGAAGTACTGCAACTTTTTATGGGGGGGAGATGGTGGTGTGTGTGTGTACTTGTGTGTGTGTTTGTGTGTGTCTGTGTATGCATGTACAATTGTACGTGTCTGTGTGTATGTACATGTGTGTATCTGTACACGTGTCTGTGTGTGTACATGTGTATGTACATGTGTCTGTATGTGTGTATTTCTGTGTATGTACATGTATCTGTGTGTATGCGTGTATACATGTCTGTATGTGTGTACATGTCTCTGTGCATGTGTGTACATGTTTGTGTGTGTGTATGTACATGTGTGTGTGTGTGTGTGTACAGGTGTCTCTGTTTGTGTGTGTTTTGTTGGTGGCGAGTAACTCTTAAGGCCTGGCTAGTAGCTCAGGATTTGAAATTTTAAGCCCTGGACTATATTACTACAAAAGATCCATAGGATTGAACCCAGGGTCATCCATGTTCCGTTCATCAATTAAATCTTGGGAACACTGTCCTAGTGACACCTCAGATTTAGACTTGCCTCTGCCGCAGGCGGCATTGCAGTTTTAACCCTTCGCGGCACACCCCCTCGTTTTAGGAGTCATTGTGCGCAGTCCAGTTTTTGGTTGTGACTGGGTGGGGTGCACCTTTAGAGAGGAGGGACTCTTTCTTTATAAAAATATATTTTGTGTCTGAGAAGAGATATATTCCCATTAGTACTGCCTGATATGGGGCGAATTTATCTTGTACCCCAGTATAAACGCCCACCCTTTCCCATGGGGGGGATTGTCATTGGTTTGGGGTGGGGTGGGGGGGGGCTTGTACTACAATTTGTTCAATTCTTGGGTCTAGTCGGTGTTGTGGCATCTCTGTGTCAGCCGATGTTTGGGATTACAGGCATGATGTGAAAATGTACCTTTCATTCTTAAAGCGGAGCTCCACCCAAAAGGGTTCCCCGCTCCCCATTAAGGATTGGCACCTTTGGGGAGTGGGTACCCGAATTTGACAGGTACCCACTCCCACTTCCGCTGCGATCAGAAGCGGAAGTTGTCCTCATCACCCCCCCCCCCCCCCCCCCCATTTCACAAAGCGCAGCACTTCTCGCGCATGCGCAGTGGGCACCCAGCTGTGAAGCCACAAGCTGTCTCAGCCGGGTGCCCACACTGAAGATGCCGGCGCCAGGGAGAGAAGATGGCTGTGGAAACCAGCGGTGGTGAGGACACCGCTAGATCGTGGGACAGGTAAGTGGCTGTATTTTAAAAGTCAGCAGCTACAGTTTTTGTAGCTTCTGACTTTTATTTATTTTCAGGTGGAACTCCGCTTTAATACTTTTTGTATTTATGGGAAATTTTGTGTCCCAACAGGTGACTGTGGGAAGAGGAGTTGGTGTCACCTACCAGCTGGTCTCTACATCATGCCCTCTAATGATTTCCCGCACACACTGCATCTTCCGGCAGAACGCACAGGGCCATTGGACGGCCACTGATAATGGTGTAAGTTTGGGCCTGTCTGTTAACCAGTCTGTCACACCTTCGGGTGATTGAACAGTGCTTCTGTGAGTGTCCCAGGCTTCTCCTTCCCCATCCATAGATCAGTTCTATTACTTCTTCCCTCACATCCACAAATCAGTGTCATTACTTTAGTTCACATTCATAGGTCAATGCCAAAACTTATCACTTGACATCCACAGATCAGTGCTATTGCTTCTCAGTCCACACTCATACACCGGTGCTATTGCGTCTTCCTTCACACCCGTACATCGGTGCCCTTGCGTCTTCCTAGACACCCGCACGCCGGCGCCGTTGCGTCTTCCTAGACACCCGCACGCCGGCGCCGTTGCGTCTTCCTAGACACCCGCACGCCGGCGCCGTTGCGTCTTCCTAGACACCCGCACGCCGGCGCCGTTGCGTCTTCCTAGACACCCGCACGCCGGCGCCGTTGCGTCTTCCTAGACACCCGCACGCCGCGCCGCCGTCTTCCTAGACACGTTGCGTCCGTTGCTCTTCCTAGACACCCGCACGCCGGCGCCGTTGCGTCTTCCTAGACACCCGCACGCCGGCGCCGCTGCGTCTTCCTAGACACCCGCACGCCGGCGCCGCTGCGTCTTCCTAGACACCCGCACGCCGGCGCCGCTGCGTCTTCCTAGACACCCGCACGCCGGCGCCGCTGCGTCTTCCTTGACACCCGCACGCCGGCGCCGCTGCGTCTTCCTTGACACCCGCACACCGGCGCCGCTGCGTCTTCCTTGACACCCGTACATTGGTGCCGTTGCGTCTCTTGCTTCTCCTTCCACATTCATACATTTGACAAAAACTGTAGAAAGTGTATAATAACTGCCCCCCCCCCCCCCCCCAAAATTCTGTGACTTTTAATTTAGTGATTCTGTTTCCTTTTGATCAACTTGCAGAGCCTGAATGGAGTATGGGTGAACAAGGAGAGACTGGATCCAAACAAACCTTGCGTGCTAACCAAGGGATCCCCTATCCAGTTCGGAGTACCTCTTCCAAATACAGACAAACCTGAGTTTGAGTATGTACTGGTCCAGGAGAACCGGGAGAAAGTCCGACCTTTTCTGGTCAGCAAGAGCAAACCTCCACGAAACAAGCGCAAACTGAACTGTGAAGATTCGGAGACCTCTGGAACGGAGGTAGGTACCTCCAGCATGTCCAGAGCGAAGCTTCCACGAAGAGAAGAACAGCTTGCAAAATTGCCAAAGCCTGACCTGTCTAAGCAGCCGACGATACCCGTGGAGCAGCCAGAATCAGACTTGGACATCATGGCAGCTACCCAGCAGCAATGCATGAACACTGTGCAGCTGTCTACGATGAGGGATTCTATAGAGGAGCTGCGCAGTCTGAACGCTCAGGTCCAGGAGAAACGCAAGGACGTGCGAAACATGAAAGATCCACATCAGAGCTCGTCAGAGGATACCCACTGTCTGCTGAAATGCAAGCAGGAGCTTGTCGATCTCAGGAACCAGATGGTCGTCAAGAGAAGAGAACATCTACAGAAGGTCAATGCGGTGCAGAGGATGCAAGAGGAGCAGCAGAGCAAAGTAAGAACATATGGAGTAGCCATGCGCTGAGTGAGAGAAAATCGCAGGTCGCATTTACTGTTCAGTCAGTCCTGATTTTACTATTTCAGCCCCAAGCCATTTCTGGCACTTTTTTGTTTACTTTTTAACCACTTTCCATCCGGCCGCTGTATATAAACGGCAGGACGGTGGCACTCCAGGGGCGGGTTGCCGTTCATAAACGGCACCCGCCATTATGGACTGTGCGCGCTCCCTGGGAGCGCGCAGCACCGCGATCCAGTGCCCGATGTGTCCACCAATCGTCGTACGGGACCTCTGTGCACGGTCCTGATCATGTGAACACTGATTGGCCAATCAGCGATCACGTGCAGAGTAGTAAGCAACTTCTGACATCATTGCTTACTACGTGTGAAATCTGTGAATGATCACAGAGATCACATGGTACAGGGCTATTCACAACAGCCCTGTACCATGTGACAAGCTGTGACCAATCACCGCTCACACAATAGTTCTCAATGGCTGCAAGAATGCAGACAGAGAAGGAGAAATGATTCCTTTTACATCCTATATGGGTGTAAAAGCAATCACTGTAAAAAAAAAAAAAAAAAATATTCATCACCCCCCACAAGTAGTACAGGGTCACCATGGTGACACTGTACTGCTAGGGTGACAGTATGTAGAAAAAAAAACCCCATAAATAATATTAAAACATTAAATATGTAAAAAAAAAAAATGTTTTAAATTATAACTTTTGGTAATAAACTAATTTGGGTTAAAGATAGCTGAATACATTTTGGCCAAGATTTATGATGAAATATTATTTATTTGCAAAATTTTATAAGAAAAACACTTTTTTTCAAAATTTTTGGACTTTTTCATTTATATAGCAAAAAAAAAAAAAAAAATCCCAGCGGTGAATAAATACCGCCAAAATAAAGCTTTATCTGTCTAAAAAAAAATGCTAAAAAATTCATATGGGTGTTGCATGACTGCGCAATTGTCATTCAAAGTGTGATAGCGCTGAAAATTGGCCTGGACAGGAAGGGGGTAAAAGTGTCCGGACGGGAAGTGGTTAAAATCAATATTTTTTTTGCTAGAGAATGACTTGGAACACCCAAACATTATATATTTTTTAAAGCAGAGGTCATAGAGAATAAATTGGTGGTTTTTGCATTTTTTTTTTTTTTTTATGTCACATGGTATTTGCGCAGTGGTTTCTCAAACGCAGTTTTTTGGTAAAAAAAAATAATACAAAGCCCAATATTTTTGTAAGCTGTAAAAGATGTTATGCTGAGTAATTGTATTTATTACTAGGGATGCCCTGAAATTTCGGTGGCCGAAACGAAAAAAAAAAAAAAGCACTGATGCAGGTGCCGAAAAAACCCCGCTCCTCGTCGACTGCCGTCGCCGCCGCTCGGTAGATCTCAGCCTTACCTGAGAAACCATCGATCCCGGCGCTGGGCATAGAGATGAGTGAAGGAAAGATGGTCACCACTCCTCTCTATGCCCTTGAAGGATTGTAGCGATATCACTTCCCGTTCCGGCCATTTTTTTTTTTTTTTTTTTTTAGGACTAGAGCAATGCTTTTTTTTGATCCAATGTTTTACATTGGATCAAAAACCCCATATTGACCCCATATCTCTCCATGAAGAGGTCCTGTCACAAATTATTTCTATCACAAGGGATGCATGCATTTGGTGGCTGAAACGTTTTGGCCGAAAACACCCTTTTTGGCCATCAGCCGAAATGAAAAAAAAGCACCGATACAGGTGCCAAAAAATCCCCGCCCCTCGTCTGCTGCCGCCACCAGTCGCCGCTCGGTAGTTCTCAGCCTTACCTGAGAAACCATCGATCCCTGCGCTGGGCATAGAGATGAGTGAAGGAAAGATGGCCGCCATTCATCTCTGCCCTCGGAGGACCGGAGCAATGTCCCTTCCCGTTCCGGCCATTTTATTTTTTTTTTTTTTTTTTCAATGCTTTTTTTTTTGATCCAATGCTTTACATTGCAGAGGAGAGATGTGGGGTCTTATTGACCCCATATCTCTCCATAAAGAGGACCTGTCACTAATTATTTCTATCACAGGGGATGCATGCATTTCTTGTGATAAGAATAAAAGTGATTACAATTTTTTTTAAACGGACAGGGCAAAAAAAACCCAAAACATTAAATAAATAATAATAAAAAAAAGTTAAGTGCCCCCGTCCCCCCATGCTCGCTTGTAGTAGTGAACGCATACGTAGACCCTGCCCACATATGTAAATAGGGTTCAAACCACACAGGTGAGATATCGCCACGAACGTCAGAGCAAATGCAATAATTCTCACACTAGACCTCCTCTGTAACCTCACACTGCTAACCTGGAGAAATTTTTTAAAGCGTCACCCATGGAGATTTTTTAAGTATCGCAGTTTCACACCATTCCACGAGCGCGCGCAATTTTAAAGGGTGACATGTTTGGTATTTATTTACTCGCTGTAACATCCTCTTTCATATTTTACAAAAAAATTGGGGTATATAATTATTATTTTTTTTTTTAATCAGTGTATTTTTTTTCAAAAAATATATACCGTATTCATTTTTAAAAACTTCGCATTTCAGTTTTCAGCCAAGTGCATTTTGAATTTTCAGTTTTCGGCGCCAGAAGTTTAATTTCGGCGCACCACTATTTATTACTATAGGTACGTATATAGCGCCGTCAATTTACACAGCGCTTTACATACATTTTTTACATTCACATCAGTGCCTGCCCTCAAGGGGCGTACAATCTAAGGTCCCTAACTCACATTCATACATACACATACTAGGGACAATATAGACAGGAACCAGTTAACCTACCAGCACGTCTTTGGAGTACCCGGAGGAAACCAGAGTACCCGGAGGAAACCCACGTCAGCACAGGGAGAGCATGCAGACTCCAGGCAGGTGGTGCCATGGCTGGGATTTGAACCAACAACCCTAGTGCTGTCAGGTGGAAGTGCTAATCTTTTAGCCACTGTGCTGCCCATCATTGATACCAAACATGTCATGCTTTCAAAATTGCGCACGCCCGTGCAATGCGGCAAAGTCACCCTGTACCTTTAGCAGAGAAGCAACCCCAAAGCATAATGTTCCCACCTCCATGCTTGACTGCAGAGATGGTGTTCTTAGGGTCATAGTCAGCATTTTTCATTTTTTCAAAACACTGCGAGTCAAGTTAATGCCAAAGACCTCCATTTCGGTCTCATCTGACCACAGCACTTTCTCCCAATCCTTCTCTGAATCATTTAAATGTTCATTTTGGAAACTTCAGACGGGCCTGTACAGATGTGCCTTCTTGAGGAGAGGGACCTTGCGGGCGCTGCAGGATTTCAATCCATGGCGGCATATTGTGTTACCAATGGTTTTGTTTGGTGACTGTGGTCCCAACTGCCTGGAGATCATTCACAAGCTCCTCCTGTGTATTCTGGGCTGATCCCTCACTTTTCTCATGATCATCCTTACCCCACGAGGCGGAAATCTTGCATGGAGCTCCAGACTGAGGTGATTGATGGTATTTTTGTATTTCTTCCATTTGCGAATAATCGCTCCAACAGTTGTCTCCTTCTCACCAAGCTTCTTGCTGATGGTCTTGTAGAACATTCCAGCCTTGTGCAGGTCTACAATCTTGTCCCTGACGTATTATGACAGCTCTTTGGTCTTGCCCATGGTGGTGATGTTTGATTGGAAGAAAGATTCTGTGGACAGGTGTCTTTTTTACATACAACAAGTTGTCATTAGGAGCACCTTCTTAAATTGACAGGACTAATCTGTGTACCACAATGAGCACACCAAATCCAATCTGTGGAGCCAACATTTTGTTGGTTGGTAGGGGATGAAATACTTATTTTATTCACTGAAATGCAACTCCACGGTTGGTCTTATAACATTTGTATCACGTTTTTTTTCTGGCTTGTTGGTTGATAGTCTGTCTCTATTATTTAAAATACACCGATGATTAAAATTATAGACCCTTCATTTCTTTGTAAGTGGGCAGACTTACAAAGTTTGCAGGGGAACAAATAATGATTTTCCCCACTGTACACTCAGTGACCACTTTATTAGGTCCACCTTGCTAACCGTCAACCAGTACCGGGGTTGGACCCCCTTTTGCCTTCAGAACTGCCTTAATTCTTCATGGAGTGGATTCAACAAGGTTTTGGAAATGTTCCTCAGAGATTTGGTCCATATTGACATGATGGCATCACGCAGTTGCTGCAGATTTTGTCAGCTGCACATCCATGATGCGAATCTCCAGTTCCACTACCACATCCCAAAGGTGCTCTACTGGATTGAGATCTGGTGACTGTGGAGGCCATTGGAGTCCAGTGACCTCATTGTCATGTTCAAGAAACCAGTTGGAGATGATTTGAGCTTTTGTGACATGGAGCATTATCCTGCTGGAAGGAGGCATGAGAAGATGGGTACACAGGCACCCGGTGTGGTCTTCTGCTGCTGTAGCCCATCTGCTTCAAGGTTCGTCGTGTTTGTGCGTTCAGAGATGGTATTCTGCATACCTTGGTTGTAACGAGGGGTTATTTGAGTTACTGTTGCCTTTCTATCATCTTGAGCCAGTCTGACCATTCTCCTCTGACCTCTGACATCAACAAGGCATTTTCGTCCACACAACTGCCACTCACTGGATATTTTTTTTTTTTCGGACCATTCTCTGTAAACCCTAGAGATGGTTGTGTGTGAAAATACCAGTAGACCAGCAGTTTTTTAAATACTCAGACCAGCATGTCTGGCACCAACAAATATGCCACATTCAAAGTCACTTAAATCCCCTTTCTTCCCCATTCTGATGCTTGGTTTGAACGTCAGCAAGTCATCCTCACTGCGTCTAGATGTCTAAATGCATTGAGTTGCTGCCATGTGATTGGCTGATAAGCAATTTGTGTTACCAAGCAATTGAACAGGTGTACCTAATAAAGTGGCTGAGTGTACAGGAATTAGTTGTTGGTCCTCTACCCCTAGGTAAAAACAAGCAATTAAAGAGTGAATA